AGACTTTCCCATGGACTTTTCAGCCAGACGGTGGGCAATGCCTGCCATGGCTCATCAGAGCAGACAAGGGCATGTGACCAGCTCATGTGACACTAAACTCCATCTGGCCCCTGTGCGTTTCTACTCTCAGTGCTGGGGGCTTTGCTTGGAACAATGAGTCCCCTCTACCTGTGCTTCCTGGAAGCTGTGCACACCCAGGAGAGATTCACACGCTGCCCAGCAGAGTGTGCTCAGGTGCCCCTTCCCCACCTTGCACTCTCCTGCAGCTGCTCCTGGGAGGGAACTTCCTGCTAACTGCATAGCGTGCGGGGAGGTCAGTGCTGATCTCAGGGTGTCCCCTAAGCCTATACCCCAACTCCACAGAGCAGGGCAGAGGGAACACAGACTGGCTCAGGAGAACTCCAAGCTGCTTCAGTCTGAATGGTGACAGCCTGACTTTCTCAGAAGCAGTGCTCTGCTTGTGAGATGCACCCAGCAGCCAGCTCACACAGTCTGTCTTACACACAAACTCTCCATCCCCCTGTAACTCATCTCCACCGAGGAGGCCTGAGGGACAGAACCTGGTTTGGGGAGACCTTTGCCATGGTTGGAGGTCTGCTTTGAAGGAGGAGCCCCTTTCTTACAGGTCACTGCTGAATCTGAGATTTCCACAGCAGCCAGATCAGTCTGTCTCTCATGCACACACATAAATACACACTCTATGACATGCACACACCGAGAGAAGCATGCACACAATTCTCCTTCTGCTGCTCTTTGCCCCATCTGCACAGAGTGGGTGAGGAGAGACTACAGGGCTCAGGGGAAGCTTGAAGTGTCTTAAAGAGACAGTGCATGGGATTTCCCAGAAACTTCCCCTGTAGCAGCCAGAACATGCACAGTATCTGTTCCTCCCTTACGCACCCATGCACAGTCTTGGTGTCACATACTTGGTTGGAAAGTAAACAATCTCTGTGTCTCCCACAGATACACACTCTCTTTCACACTCACCTCGCTGCACATAACTGTATTAATATTGTTGTTACTGCTTGGCACTACCTGCAATGCATCTCTGTCATTTCATTCTTTCCAAGTGTGTATGTTAATGATCTGACTGGTCTATGCATTTAATACTTTTTCCTTCTCTTGCACTTACATTTAACTCTGAGTACAAGAGCCCCACTCAGCAGCCAAAAGGGAATTTTTTCTGAGATTTTTTTTTTAGTTGCATATTCATTACTTGAATAATGAACATGCAAATATAACGTTACTGGGCCACCAAAAGTTTGTGTCTGGGTTTGGTGGTCCTCAGTGAGAGACAGGTTGGGAACCACTGCCTTAGAGGGAACGCCAGCAGGAAGGAAGAAGACGCTGACGGAACAGCAGCAGCAGAGCAATCCAGCAAAGAAGGGGCTGCCCAGAAAAGCAGCAACTGTAGAAGCAGCCCAGCAGGGTTCCAGAGCTGCCTTCGACATTGGCAGCTTCTATGAGAAGCAGCCTCACCAAGCAGCAAACCCAGCAACCCCACAGGCTTCTCTCTGTGCCCCACAGAGCAGCAGGGATCTCAGCAGCAGCTTGCCATGAACTCGCCTGGGGGCTCTGGGCTCCCTGCATTCCCCAACTCCCTCTAGCAACCGACACAGCAGAAGCCCCATTCCACTGGTGGACCAGACGGATTGCTAAGGAAAGGGAAAGAAAGGTGAGGAACAACTGGACAGTGGCAGATTGAGGAGGGGCAAGTAGAGGTAAGACCACAAGACTATGAAAGTGGCCCCAGGGGATTCATCTGCCTCCACTGCTGCCCAGTTTTCTGATACCACCAGCAGCTTGCTGGGCTCCCTCTGAGATGTCTCCTCTGAAATCTGAGAGCTGTAGTGATCTCCTCAGCTCCTGAAAGCTGGTCTTTGCAACCAGATATGCCCCATGGCCCGAGGGTGGAGATCTCCAGCCTGAATTCCTCTTGTTCACTCCCATCCTTGTGGCACAGGGTGCCCCTGAGGCTGGTCTTGGCTGGTGTTACCAAAGTTAGTGTCCTTCTGGACAATGCTTGGCAGTACTGGGTGGACCCCAGTGTGCTTACCCAGTATATAGCTGACACAACATGTCCCCCAGGAGATAAAGGCTGTCCTGTCGCCCACCTCTGTGCCTGTATCACCTGGCTCGCTGGAGTTTAATGTCAGGCCCCTGCTGCCTCAGCTTCCACCCATCGCTCTGAGCCTCCCGTTTCAGCTGCCTCATACTGAGGGGCAGTGTTCTGGATGTTGACTGAGCTGGTACCTTTGTCAGGGTGGGACAAGTCTCACTGTACCTATGCCTGGGGAGCTGGGACACTAGCGCCCTGCTCCTTCAACAATAAACTTGGCTGAGAGCCTTAGCCCCTGAATGGAGACTGGTGTCTTTCTACAGCAACAACCCTGAGCTGTGGGGCATGGACAAGCTGAACGCTCAGGCCAGTGCAGCACAAGGATGCCCCACAGGCACTAACACCAGCCAGACCCAGACCTAACTGCTGATGGTGCCTGGCCCCTTCCACTAACACCTGTGGCCAAGGCATAACATGGGCAAGATGATGGGAAGCACATTGAGACCTTGGCTGTGGGAAGAGCAGCACCATTGTTATGTCCTTGAACCTGCTCCTCTGGGAGGGGATGTGGAGGGGACAGTCTCTCACCCAGAAGCCGGGATTATTGGGGCTGATACTCCTGACACTGGAGGGCACAGGACATTGAGGGGCCTGAACCAAATCCAACCCACCCAGCTTCTGATACCCGAGGGGACAGGAATCCTTACCCAGCCAGCTCACAGCCTCATAATTCTCCTGCATCACATCCCAGTAGAGGGCTCTCTGACCCGGGTCCAGCAGAGCCCATTCCTTCTCTGAGAAATACACAGCCACCTCCTCAAAGGTCACCGGCTCCACCACAGCCATTTTCTTTCCCTGGCTCTGCAAGTCAGGGGCTGAGCTGGAGACAGACATGGGTGTTCTGCAGCCTGGCAGGAAGAGAAGGGCAATTGGAGACATTTCAGAAGGGGCTTTAACCCTTTCCACACCCCCATTCTTACCAGACTCTGTCACTGGTGACACACATGCTAGAATATGCCACTGTGGGCAAAAGTTTGAGTCTAGATATTCCATAAACAGCACACACAAGTTAGATCCCAAATCCACATTCATTTCTCTCTGGAACTGGCTTGAGTCACATTACTATGCCTGAAACACTGGAATTCAGTTCTCAGCACCCAATGTTTCTGATAACAAGCCACATATTCACCTGCCTGAACACGGACGTAGGTTAAATTTAAGCTGCTGTATTTAAAACCTTTAGTCTTCATTCATTGATTTGCAGCACAAACTTTGGTTCTTATCTGACAAACTTTTTAAAACTTCTTCACAACAGAGAGTAAGTGAAGTTAATATGAGTATTCAGGTGCTTATTAAACACATGAGCTTAATGTTTGCAGGATGAGATCTTAAAATTCATGGATTCATGGGATCAGAAGATATTCTTAGTTATGCAGTCTGACCTCTTGTGGCCCAACCCATTACACTTAGTCCAGTTACCCAGGCACAAAGCTCTGCTTCCCCATAGCGTGTTGTCTAGAAAGTCACCCAGTGATTTGAAGACATCAGGAGATGGAGAATCCACCAGTTCTTTGCTCATTTGTTTCAGCAGCTAGTCCTCTTCCCTATCATACATTTGTGCCTCTTTTCTAGTCAAATTGTCCGGCTTCAGCTTTCAGTTATTGGCTCTCACTGAGACGTACCCACTAGACCAGTGGTGGGCAATAAATTTTGATGGGGGGGCCAGTCCAAGATTTTGGAAAATGGTTGAGAGTTGCACTCTTACATTACATCAATGGAGGAAATGCAGGCTCTGGGATGGACACAGAGCAGGAGTGTGGGTAAGAGATTGGGATGCAAGAGGGAGAGAGGAGTCTGGGAGGGAGTTTGGGTGAAGGAGGAAGGTGTGACCTGCGGCACTGGATTAGCCAACTACTCGTTAGATATTTAAAGTCAAAGTTAATTTAGAGAAGTGGCTGAGTAGATAAATAAGGGGCTGTGGGTTTCTGACCGCTGAGAGCTCTTGTATATACAGATGCAGGAAGAGGACAGAGTTTGGGTATGTGGGGAGGGGGCAGGAATGGGGGGCAGAGATTAGGAGGGGAAGGGAGAGGTTGGGGTGCCAGAGGCAAGCTCTGGCTGGGAGACTTACCTGAGTGACTCTTGGCCAGCAGCCAAGCACCTTTCTCAGGCAGGCTGCCCGATCCTCACACAGACTGCAGGGCTATATGCGTGTGTGAATAATTATGAGCTGGAGGGGAAGGGGCATGGTGCTTCATTTCTGCCCAGAAACCGGTCAATGAGATTGTCCTGGCCACACTGGAAGCAGTGCCTGAAGCCTTCCCCTCTCCCCTCCGGGCTCACAGTTGCTTTGTGAGTGGCTTGCAGATGGGGCATGGCAAGCACAGAACCAGCCCACGGTTCTCCCAGCATTGTGGGCCGGATCTGGCCCATGGGCTGTATTTCGCCCAGACCTGCACTAGACTGAAGAGCCGTTGGGAATCCAACAGTTTCTCGCCATGAATAAACTGATACAGTGGAAGCACTCAGCTCTCAGACTTTCAGCCTATTGATTGTTTGAAACCAACCCCATATTAAAACTGACAGCAGTGAAAACTGAGTCCGAAGGTGCCGTCCGTTGTGTGCTTTAACTCCACACCATTAGCATCACACTTCATAGACCAGTGTTTCTCAAAGTGGTCTGCAGGTCCCCAATTCACTGCCTCTGGGTATCCTCACTGATCAGTGGGTTAGATTTAGGGCTGCGTGTGCCACGGTTGCTGGGTCTGGTTGGTAACTTTAATGACAATCCCATGAAGATATTTTCATGGGAATTTTCTCATAATTTAAAGACACTTTCCTCCTAGATATTTTCATGGGAATTTTCTCATAATGTAAAGACACTTTCCTCCTACAAACTCATCTTGTCTGAAAGCTCCCAGGGATTTTCCTCTTGCTCTCTTCAGTGCAAAGGGCAGAGTGTCTGGTAGGAAAAGGGAGAAGAGAGGTGAGATTACAGACTCTCCTATTTATAACAATGTCCCCACTCTGAACTCTGCATTTCTAGTGTATAAAAGACCAAACAGAGACATACTCAGGTGTCTAATATGAAAAGGTCTGAAACCTTCTGTTTCCTCTCTCCCTCAGGCACTTCCCAGCAATGGAGCCAACATCCCTGCAGACTCACTCCCGTCCCAGGTGAGACAAGCTGTAAATGAGATTTACTTTTCTCTCCTCATCCCCTCCCACTTGGTTTCGCTCAGTCACTGAGAGTATTAGCCTCATCATAACCTAGAGCTGTGGTGGCAGAAGGCGTTACCATGAAAGTAACTTTACTCATTTTGATCCCTTTCACACTAACAGGAGGTTCAAAGTTTGAAAACTCCTGACTATTTCCTAGCAGTTCTGTCTATTCGCTCAGTGTCTCTAAGAAGAGCAGCATGATGGGGCCGTCATTCTTCATGTGGGAATTAAGGCAGGGGAAGGCTGGAGTCAGAGGCCAGATTCAATAGTTTCAGATACTTAAATCACTTTCCCCTTCTCCATCCCTTCTAGGTACCTGTGAACTGCCTCAAAGTCTCTGACAACGCAATTGTTTTCTGGGAGAAACTGCTGACTTGTTCTTCCAATTCAGGAGAAATTTCCTCTGGTGGCTGGAATTGCCCCATCTCACACCTGGACAGAAACAATGCCATGTGATTGTATTTCATTTACTGATGATAAGTTCTGGCTAGTGAGTCCCAGCTTTAACAGTCCTGCAGTTAGAATCCCTCCAATTGTCCCAGCCTGAGAGCAGGGGCAACACAGCGGGCAGCAGGGAGAACTTATTGGAAAATTTGTGACATCTGACTCTATGGCTATGTCTACACTGGCACGATCTGGCACCAGAGCTATGCAAATGAGGCTAAACGTGGAATATCACCGAGCCCCATCTGCATATCTAATGAGCCACCATTTTTGCGGAAGAGGCTTTTGCACAAGAAGGAGCTGTCTACACTGCCCCTTCTTGCGCATGAAAAACCCTCTTACGCAATGCTGTTATTCCTGAAAATAATCAGCGTAACAGCATTGCGCAAGAGGGTTTTTCTCTGTGGTTACTAAGCAGAGGTGTCTCTTCCAACATCTCCTTTGGCCTCCATGTCCCTCTGAAAGGGATGTGCCCATGTCTGTTATGGGCAGCATGTTCTGTTATATATGGGCACTGGGATTTCATACAGAGAGCAGCAGGACTCAGCACCGGCCTGACAGAGATACCCAGGGGCTAGGTCTACACTGGCATGATTTTCTGGAAATGCTTTTAATGGAAAAGTTTTTTGTTAAAAGCATTTTCGGAAAAGCGCGACTAGATTAGCAGGATGCTTTTGTGCAAAAGCACTTTTTGTGGAAAAGCATCCGTGGCCAATCTAGATGCGCTTTTCCGCAAAAAAGCCCCGATCGCCATTTTCGCTATCAGGGCTTTTTTGCGGGAAACAAATCTCTGCTGTCTACACTGGCCCTTTTGTGCAGAAGTTTTTCGGAAAAAGACTTTTGCCCGAACGGGAGCAGCATAATATTTCCACAAAAGCACTGACAATCTTACATGAGATCGTCAGTGCTTTTGCGGAAATTCAAGCAGCCAGTGTAGACAGCTGGCAAGTTTTTCCGCAAAAGCAGACGATTTTGCGGAGAAACTTGCCAGTCTAGACACAGCCAGGGAGAAAAAAAGAAGCAAAGATAATGCACAAAGTGAGCAGACTCAGCAGACAGCCCTTCACAGGGACAGTCAGCTTCCTTAGGAGGATTTCTGGGAAAGTCACAGGGACTGGACATTAATTCATTCACTGACATGGAAGCTCAGAACCTGTCCACACATGGATCTAAACTCAGCAATCCATGATCCAGGAGAAACACAAACAAGCCCAACCTCACCAAGGCCACACAGGAGTCTGCCTCCTAACACAGCCCTCTCACTGCCAGTTCATAGCCACAGTCACCTACCAGACACTCCTGGCTTCTCCCCGCTCTCATCATTTTCCTTCCTAGCAGATTTTCTCCCTCTTCCCTCAGAGTCTTCAAATGGGCCTCCAATTTTTCCTGAAGAAATAAGCACCAGGGCAAACCCCATGAGACACTAGGAGCCCATTTCTCTGCCTTTAAGTTACACCGTCCCAGTTTTGTGAAGCTCTGTCCCTGTCTGGCAGGTACTCAGCCCTGAATGTGGCTTTGTCCACAGAAAAAGGGACAGGAGGAGACTGAGGATGCAGCAGGATGCCTGTGAGGGTGGGAGATGGATCAGTGATGGCACCTTCATAAAGAATGATGCAGGTGGAGATTAGGGAGGTAAAAAGGGTTACAAATACTAATCATGTAACAGATTACAATCAGTTACAATATTTTTAACCTGCTGACAGGCAGGGCCAGTAGCCGACCCGGGCTCTCCTGGGGGCAGAGCTCTCTCCCATGGTCTGCCGGAGGTGGCCACAAGGACTGCCAGCAGGTGGGGACTCCCAGCAGCTGCAGACTGACATTAGCTGCCAGGGGCAAATGGGAACTGCCAGGGGCAGCGCGGAGTTTAACTGCTAACTGCACCGATAAGCATTAGCTCATGAGTTAACCAGTTTGAACTCTTGCTACAACCCATTGAATCCCAGTGGTGCCTGGCATGGACAGCCCTGCTGTGGGTGGACTCAAGGCACTCAGGGTCCAACACAGCATCCAGACCAGCAACCTTCTCTAGTGTCATCTGCATCATCTGAGTTTAACCTCTCATGGAGCAGCCCAGGAGTTCAGCATCCCAGTGGGAAGCCTCCTCTCCCTACTAGGCCTGGGGCTTTATCAAAACATCTTTCCCTCCTAAGGGTCACACTTCATCACTGTTCAGTGATGCTGAGAGGCAGGAGAATATAGCCTAATGGTTAAGGCCTTGCACTGACCCTGGAAAGACCGGGGTTCTCGGATAAACCCTATGATTGACTTACTTGGTGACCATGAGCAAATTGCTACCGCACTTTTCCTTCCCACCGTTTGTCTAACTAGACTGTGACCTGCTTTGGGCAGGGACTGTCTCTTGCTGGGTGTTGTTCAGGGCCCAAATGCCATTGTGGATCCATAAGGCAAATGCAAACTACTACTGCTTCTCAACCCATCAGTAACAGCTTGTAATCTCCTCTTCTCCAATTCCAAGGCAGCTCACTCCTATACACTGGCCTGCAGCTCCTGTGATTGAAAACTCTCTGATTGTTAACATCTCCTATTGTGCAGATATTCCTCCTGGCACCAGTGAGGGCTGAGTCTCAGGATTCAGAAATTCAGAGAAACATTTCCCACATCAGGTATCTGTAAAGACTTCATGTAAGTTGCCACAAAGCCAGAACATTTACTTTTTACAGCATCTCTTGTACCATGAAGGATTTACAGAGCTGTGTCACACCTGTGCCAGTCAGTGAAATTAGCCTAGAATTAAAACCCAACATTATTTCCCATTACACTGGAAAGCAACTCTGTACCTTGTACTCCTGGGCAGCTTCCTGTATGGGCACCACTGTGTGAGCCTGGGATCTGTCACACACCACACAGATGGGAATTTGATCCTCTTCACAGAGCAGCTTTAGAGCCTTCTGGTGCTCCCCATACACCCCGTCCCATCTTGCTCTCTTTGCTGCCTGGAAACTCAGCAGCTTGGCTAGTTCTACCATTTTTGCCAGCTGCCTGTTGGGCTGGAGGAGTCCCTGCTGCTCAGTGTCTCTGCACTGAGAGCTGAGAGGGGTCTGGCAGAAATTGTGCCCACACTTCAGAGTGACAGGGGCTGTGAAATCCTCCAGGCAGATAGGACGCGTTGTTTCTTTCCAGAGACTTTGCACAGGGCTCTCTGCAGCCATGACTACCTCTGGGCTGGGGAACAGGAGTAGTTTCACTATCCTAAGCTCAGCAATGTAGGGGCAGGTCCAGAGGGTGCATACTGTGGAGGCAGGAAAAGGGAATAAGGGAATTTGTGTGCAGCCATCTTGGTCTTGTTAACAAGAGAGCAAGAGTCAGGCTAAGTCTGTGGCCTGACAACGCGAGATCTGTAATTAGACGCTGCCTTCGCCTCTCGCCTCCATACGGAGATAAGGATAGAATGCTGACTCTGGTAGGGACCTTGAGATAAGGAGCATCTGGGTGGAACTAAATAACTGTTAGCCATTGGTGTTTGTAATGGGAAGGAGACTAATTGTTATTGTTATTATATTTAATAGACAGTATATAAACTGCTTCATAATTGCTTGTATTCGAAGATCTGCCTCAGAGGGGGGGGCTTCCCCCCCCCTCCCCCGTCCGAACCAGTTTTTCCCTTGCTGCAGCTCGTAATAAAACTGCCTCTGGCTACTTGTTGCTTACAAACTCAGAGTGAGGACAACGTTTTCTTCCACAGTCTTGATATTAGAGTCTGAGTTCAAAGAGGCTCTAAAACTTCAGAGGGTATTACTGCACAAATTTCTTTAGCCTATGGACTGAGGGGAGTCCATACAGCAAAATTCCCTTAAATGGGAATTTCAGTTAAAATCAACATTCTTGCTAGTCTCTTGCTTTATGGTATGTTTTGATTGGTGGCAATTTCATATTTTGGAATATAGCCAAACTATCATTTCAGTTATTGGACTGTAGTTTTTAATGTTTTTTTTTTCCGGTCAGTTAAATCCAACTCGGCTCACTTGGGCAGCCATATTTTTCATCCCTTGCCAGCTATTACTTTGGTTGGATAATTGAAAGTGTCTCAGCGTCAGAGAACTCAGCTCAAATTTCTTTATTGTTCAAGCAACTTTCTCTCTCTAGTTCTCAATTCTTTAAAGATAATTTAATTGAATTTATTAACACTTTTCTGCTTTGTTTTTTATTTTTAAAAGACTTGTGTTTGGTGTTACTTTTTTTCCTTCGTAAGCTGAATTGTGGTCTTTCATGAATTAGGTTACTGTTTGACTCCTAACAAGAAGAGTTTATATTTCCTGAGTTCCTACTGTACCAAATTCATTCCTGGTGCACATGATTAATTTGACCCCAAACTTGTTTTTATTGTTTTACAATATTGTTGTTGAAAAGAGATCTCTATAAACCAGAAAGCTTTACTAATATCTGACCTAAAAAAATATCCTGAAAACAGTATATTTTGTGCTTTAGGTAAATTGAGTAAAGCATCTCTCAGGTTAAATTTTCAGAGGGTATGTCTACACTACAAAGTTAATTCAAACTAACAGCTGTTAGTTCGCATTAACTTTCATAGCGTCTATACGTGCAAACTGCTAGTTGGAACTTGATTGGAACTAGCGGAGCACTTAATTTGAACTAGGTAAACCTCATTCTACGAGGACTAACACCTAGTTGAAATTAAGTAGTTCGAATTACGGGCTGTGTAGCCACCTAATTCAATCTAGTTGGAGGCTAGCCCTTCCCAGGTTGCCCTGATGGCCACTCTGGGACAAACCAGGGAAACTTTTCTGCCCCTCTCCCAGCCCTGGAGCCCTTAAAGGGGCATGGTCTGGCTACAGTGCCCGTGCCAGTTGCAAACCTGCCAGCATCCAGCCAGCAGAACC